TGTACAAATGTGGGCTCGCAGACCCTTTTTTTAGTTGTAATTATTCTTTGTATCGATTTTTTTTCCACCGACCTAAATATGACCTATCATAATTTGTTTTAGCATACTTATTTTTAGCTGTAGTCACTGATGAACAGTAACATAACATAAAACACGTTTGTAATCATATATGAAAGAATAGCAACCTATTGTTCATGCATGTACATGGATTCTTACTTGCGGTACAAGCTACCTATTCATATCTACCAAAATACAATGTATTAGTCCGTCTAATAAATTTTTGTTTGAGGTACATAAATGTCTACATATTACAACTTAAATAGCCATAATATTGCTACACAGTATTTAGTGGTTCGCGACAAGTTTTACGATTGTGTCCCGACGTACCACATCGACTGCACTTGCGCGGTGGACGGACCTCGCCTGTGGAAGGAATCCTCACCGTCTGTCGCCGTCCAACCCTAACGACCTTCTTCGGTGGTTGAACATCGATATTCACAAACCCCGGAGAACTCTTCCATGTTGAGGATGAACCCACTGGAAATATTGGTTCTGCATATGCCAACATCTAGCTGTTGACCGTGTATGCCTCATCGCATAGTGTGTACGGATTTATGCTACGAGAACTGGCTGCAGCAATAGCATGGGAGCACGGGACTTTAAAATAATCGAACTCCCGACAAGTACACGTCTGCGATTGCAAGTCAACGTCCCCATTGAGGTTCCCGTCAAGTACCTCAAAATTAAACTGGTCGATGTTCATAACAATGTGTCTCCGTGCATTATCCAAAGCTTCGGCAATCATTTCCTCTGCGTAGTCAGACAACGTACTCTGCCGTGAAGAAGCAAGCGTCCGATGTTCGTAGAACCACCTTTGCAACACACCTCTGATATGATCAAGTAATGCGGTGATTGACAACTTACGTGCATGCCTGAAAAGGGCATTAACGGACTCTGCAATATTGGTGGTCATTTGTGAGTATCTTAGTTTCGTCTGAAAGCAGCGAGCCCATCGTTCCTTTCCTATAGCTTCCAGATATTCCCTGACTCCTGGGTGTGCGCACAGTTGGACCCAGTTCTCATTGAAATATGACTCGCGAAATGCCTTCGCAGCCTTAAAAAATAATGCCTCCAACGCGGACGTTTTAAATTTGGCCAGCAAGTTCATCTTTAGATGATGTATACAAAAGCAATGAAATGCAGTAGGAAATACCTCATCAATCGCTTTACAAATGGCGGCATGTCGATCAGAAATGAAGACCAAATTCTGAACGGTGTCGACAACACTCTTCAATTGAGTCATAAACCATACCCATGATGCGACGCTCTCACTCCCGACCATTGCAAAAGCAACTGGGTATATTTGGTTATTCGCATCAACAGCAGAAGCAGTTAATAATACACCTCCGTACTTCCCTTTAAGGTGTGCCCCGTCAATAACCAAAACTGGTCGAATGCAACACATAAAACCTCTAATTGATTGACCCATGGCCATGAAGACATATTTGAAGTACTTACTATCATCCAACTCCAATTCAAATATAGTACCTGGATTCATGATTTTCATGGCTTCCCCATAAGCGGGTAGTAGCYCGTACGATGAAGCTGGATCCCCTCTGATAAGTCGGAGTGCTTCTTCGCTCGAACGCCAGGCCTTGTCGTAACTCATATTTACACCGTACTCCTCACGAATATCTTGCATGATGTCCTTCGGCCTGTACGTGCGAGAAACATCAGTAAACTTTGATTGTACTAGATGACCGACCACCCAACTCTTCGCCTGACGATGATCCTGTTTCATAACGGCACCATTGCACTTAGAGTGGACTGCGATATATTTCTTTATCTTAAACAGGTTGCAATCTCTAATCTTAGTGGTTCTAAGTCGCCACGTGCAAGTAGGATCGATGCATCGCATCAAGTATAGTTTCGGCGTAGACTTCTTCACTTGAAACTGAAAGTTCTTCCGCAATGCAAGTAAATGCATTTTCATAACTAGTTCCTTCTTTGAGTCGAATACGTCACGCTCCTTAACATCATCGGTCCTAGCCGATTGGACCATGGCTTGCAATCTATCACCTTCTGACTGACCGGTGACTCTATTGCTTGCCATTTCATGGACGGTGTCTACAGGATATTCAGCCATTGTATTATGAATTGTTACCTTTTCATGCTCATGTTGCACATCAAGTCGATCACTGGCGTACTCATTTCCATATTCCTCTTCGTCGTCTCCTTCTCCCATGTCGGTCATTGGACGATATGATTCATCACTATCTTCATCCACATTTTCACTTCCATTCCACAAGCCAGGCACATCCCAATCATATGCCCTATCATCTCCCAAATTACAAGGAACAA